CACAACTTAATGTATGGATTTAATGCCAATGAATTGAAATATTATACAATAATTATAAACCCTAAAATTGATGTACATTTGTTTTGTATTTTCATCAAGTTAAGCCTAAAGACGTTTCACTTAAAATAAGAAACAATACCAATCAAAAATTGCAGTATTACCACAGATATTACCATCAGATGGACCTGAAATTCCGAGGTATAGCCGGTACAGCCCTTCTTAATTTAAAACAATGTAAAATTGGGAGTATTCACGTTTTCACTACTTCAGGGTTCGTCCGCTCAAAACGCAAGTCGGCCAGAGTTTTCCGCCACGGATGCAAACCTCCGTCGAGTAAAGCTAATCCGATACAAACCAATGCGTTTTGAATTCGACGGAAACCGTAGTGTTTAGCCCCGCCCTAATAAATTTCCGATGGGCAACCATAGTGTCTATGGCCGTGAGTGGAACATAGCCACTCAAAATGTCAAAATGACGAAAAATAAATTCAACAATAAAACAGAAAAAACACTAATGACAGCTCCGTGTAAGACACGGCAGCTATCGAATACTAATAGGAAAATATAATTGGGTAATCAAACAAAACAAAAGAAAAACCTGACGACAGCTTCGACCACTCCGCTCACGACCGCTCGGTCTCCGTGATAGACAAATTACATTCCACCTCTGGAACGGCGTCAGGGGTTTTGAGGTGAGATAATCATTAATCCAGCCACGGGTCGACAGCCGCGATCCACGTCAGCACCGTTGGGATGCACAAAATCGCAACGGGATGCACTATGCACACGATCGCAAACTGCATGCTCGACGTACCTACCGGAAACAGTGAATAACAGCCACCGCGGCTTTAACGGTAACGAGCGCGCCGTAAAAACACGGAGGCGACCAAACGGATACGCGTCCACCGGCGCGCGGCGTCTATGCCGCCCAAAAGGGGGTTAACCACAACGACAAGGCACAGGAGTTGTGTACGACGATGGCGACGGCTTAGCCACGAGGCTTACGGCGCAACGAAAACGTGACCACGCGCAAGTCGCGGGACATCCTGTCGAGTCAAGCGCTAGGACCAACACGAACGGCGAGCTGGAGAATGAGAAATCCTCTAAACTCTTCGACGCCGAAAGCGCAGCCGGTGGCCTGGCTGCAAAGTTCAAAACCTAGCGGCAAAACCGTTCCGCGTTCGAACAATTAATGGTTTAAGGTCCATTCCCACTGCTCCGGGACGGGTCCCGGCCGGGCCGTGTAAATTTTTACCCGTCCTGGTAGCCCGGGTGTCAATAATTCACACTATTCAGGGATCCGTCCGGATTCCGGACAGCCGGGAGTCCATTTTCATCGGCTGTACTTCGCTATACACTCATCAGTTGTAATTAAGCATCGAAACCACGTGTACTTATATTTCTGTTAGTTGCATACAATTTAATGTTTAATCCTAATTAATTAATTTTAATATTTATACACTAGTAGTAGAAAGTATTCGTACTTCACTGAAGTCTGAAAGTGTATTTTAAGTTCTGCAAATATAAAAAGTAAGTATAATTTTATAACTACATATTAAAAAAAAGTTATAGAACACTTTAAATTAAAAATAATGTGATTTAGTATTGCTATGAATTTTTCCGACGACGAACTTGCAATGATAGCAATATTACTT